AAGGCATGATTTCAAGCTAGTTTTTAAGTGTAAAGGTTGCTTTTAGTATGAATTTTAAGCATGAAAATAACAGTTTTTCAACTGTTATCAGTGTCGTCAACGCCAACATCTCCTTCTTTGATCGATCCGCACCGGCCATCGCAGCTTCAAGCTTCAATCCCAAATTGTGTGTGCCATTTGTGAAGAGTGTCGTGTTCTGTCTATTGAGACTGTAGAACAGAAGAAAAATTAAGGTTATTAATCTAATGAATTGGTGGAAGTGTGGTGTTTGAAGGTGGAGAAGGAAGGTTTTTTGTGATATATACATATATATATATATATATATATGTATATATATATATGATAGAACTTTGAAGAAGGAGGTGTGGAGAATTCTGGCAAACACGACATCATGGGTGGGGTCATGAGAAATGAGCACTGAATTGGAGTATCATTTCGTTTTCCAGAATTTTCCAGAACCAGACATGTTATAGAGGATGGAACCTTTCAAGATTCCAACTTGTTGGATAAGCTTTTGACCATGTTTTCTGCAGAATTAGATCCCTTCGTGTTCCAAGTCCAATCTTAATTGCGGATTTCTTATGTGTCTGGTTACACTCCAATGAAGATAACTCCTCTAAGTCACTATCTTAGCTGAGAAAAGTGCCCGATACCAACAAACATGGCTTCCGATCCTCAAAAATCTAAGGAATGCATTAAAAATCAAGAAAATTGTCGCAAATCTAAGTTAGCCAATCACAAAGCCAACAAATGAACCTATATGTCTTAGTCTACAATTTTTCTGCAAAAGGAAACCAAGTTTCAGTTGAATGTGAATCTTGGCAATTTGAAATTGCATTTAAATTTTGCTTCGGTGTGTTAAAGATATTTTAGCGGCATGGCTAACTTTTATAAATGAAATTATATTTCCTTTCATTTAATTCTTCTGCTGTGACATGGATGCAACATGTAGTAGACTCCAGAGGTTTTGGAAAATCAATTGAATGCAAAAATCTGGCTGTGTTTCAAACTGTGAAAGTGGTTGCTAGAGTTTTAAGCAGAGACTGTAATGTTTTTCATTAAACTCTAAACTTACAGTTGTTTTTATTTGAAGATTGATTTATACTATGGTCATTTTGCGGTTGCTTGTTACGACAACTAATAGATACTGTGATCATTTGCAGGTGCAACTTGTAAAGATGATCAATGAAGCTATTGCTAACTTACCTAAATGGGATTCATTAAATAGAAGCTGAGGAAAAGAAAATAAACCACAAATCCTTAGGCCTCTCATGCTATGGCTACTAGATGGCAACCAACAATTTGGATTACATAAAAATAGACCTGTTTCACCCCAAGATCTCTGATTAATACAAAAAAGATGTTTTTGTGCTAGATCTAAAAAATAGATGTTTTTTTCTGTAGCAAGTCAAGTGTGGGTATTGAAGTATAGAGCATTTATAGTTTGTCAGTTAACCTTTTTTCAGTAGGCTTTTTTCAGAGGGAAATCAATGGAAACAACTTATTATCAAAATATTATATATACAGTTCAATGTATCAAATATACAGTGAAAAATGACAACGGAGGCAAACACCCAGAGTTTTGAATTGAGTGATAGTATATCTGTGCATTATACATCTTAGTTTAAAGTGGTGGTGATTTCCAATAAGCATGTTTAAGAAAAATCAATAGATCAGAGATTGATTGTGATGGTGCCTCTATCGTTCCTAATGAGCAGAGATTGAAAAAGAAGGAAGAAACCCTAATGCTTGAAAGAAAAGGAAGGGAAACTCCGGTGGCTTCCCCAGCGGCAACAAACGTCACCGACGACAGCCTGAGTTAGTGGAGGTGTGTTGCCATTCGTGTGTGACCACTGTTCTGACTTTGCATTGAAAAATATGTAACGTTGCAAAGAGAGATGAGTTTCTAAGTTTCCAGTGTGGCCGGACGTAAGTCACCTCGCCTGATTTTTAACGCCGTTTGTTTTGGAGGACCAAAAATTATGGTTTCTTTAAGGAGAGGGATCAAAGCGTGCAAAGTTTGAAATAGAGACGAAAAACAAAATCGTTTGATAGTTGAGAGACTAAAAACATATTTAACCTTAAAAAAAATTGTTACAATCGGGCTATATATGAAATTTTACTGAAAAAAAAAATTCCGAAACTCATACAATTTCATATAAGAAAAATTTGACTAATGGAAATCATACTTCTCTAAACAACATCACCCTGTTATGTAATATTTTAAAAATTGATACCATTGTATAAATACAAAAGTAAATTGAGCTTGTTTGACAAATTGACAGTTGGTGATGATTTATTTTAAAATTTATGTTAAAATTGATGAGAAAAAATTAGAAAAGAAAAAGTCGTGAATTTCTCTGCCCGTGTGATGTGTTTGTGTGTGATAATTATGTTGAGTAGTTCATATGTGAAGCATATTTGATTTTTAAAAACCTGGAATGTGTTTGGATTTTGATTTTTACCTGTGTTGGACTGTGGGCATTTAAAGAATGAAAATAGCACATTACCAATCATCCTTTCCCCTGTGCAGGAAACACCCATCATTGCCCCCAACCCCAACCCTTACAAACCCATTCATTATTCCCTCTCCTTCTTCATCTTCTTCTTCTTTATCAACCACATCCTCCTATTCTATGCTTCCGTCGTCAATGGAGGCGTCTCCGTCGTCCAACGGGAACACGGTGGGCGGGTTCTACGTGGTGGTCAGCAGGGGCATGGAGGAGCTGGAGCGGACCCTGGTCTCCAACAACAACGCTATCTCCCTCCCTTTCCTCCAGCGCCTCCTCTCTCTCCTCCGATCCTTCCACACGCACCTCACGCTCCTTGTCCACACCCTCCACCTCCCGCTCGGCGACAAGTGGCTCGACGAGTACATGGACGAAACCTCCAAGCTCTGGGAAACCTCTCACCTCCTCAAAAACGCCCTCTCCAACTTCGAACCCTTCTACTCCGCCGGCTTCTCCCTCGCCTCCTCCCTCCACGACTCCCTCCCCCATCTCTCCCCACAGGTCCCCTCTCTTTCTCAATTCACCTTCAACAAGCTTTTCTCTGATGTTCCCCACGCCTTAATTTCCATAATTCATTCCAATTTCATCTTCAAACCCAGTTTTTTTTAACTCTCCTTAGGGTCTACAATCAATTGGGTCGTCTTCAAACATCCACTTTCTTCTTTATCTAAATTAAAGAAACTGCCTTTCTAAATTTTACTCCATCACCACCACAATTTTACCTGCAGTATTAAGATTACTTAAAGATTACTTATTTTGATCATGCAAGAAACCCTTTGTAACTGTGACAGCATCAGTTGTATTTCTCTGTTTTTTTTTTCTACAACTGGTGCAGAGTATTCACTCGTTTTGCTAATTATAATCTACACACATGTGATCAAACTTGATTAATCATCATTTTTAGTGAGTTTTTCCTTTTTAATCATGTTTTTAATATGTAATTATGATCTTTGTTCGTATTTTTATTTCAATTGTACTTTTTACGTATACCCGGAAAGAGCACCACTGACTCTATTTGTAGAGTATGAAGAATACAACTGCAATTTAGAAATTGTGATTGGCTGTTTATCAAGATTGGATTTTTATTTTAAATTTTGGAATGCTGATGGTAATGTGATTGTGCAAGGTGCATGAGATTTTTGTGGGATTGAAACTGGAGGGTTTTTTTTTTTTTTGTGTGTGTGGTGTTTACAGGTAGTGAGAGCAATATCTGGGTGTAGAAGGGAGGCTCTGGGGTTGGAGGAGCAGAACCGTTCTTTGATGGAGACGAGGATTCAGACGTTGTGCTTGCGTTTGGACGAGAGACTGTCTGTGGAGTCGAAGCTGAACGGTTTCAACGGTTTCAGGGGAGTTCTATATGCAATGAGGAATGTGAGTTCGATGTTGCTAATGATCTTGTTGCATGGGTTGGTGTATTGTTGGCCGGAGACGTCGGAGTTGGTGGTGGGAGGATGCGAGGGGGGGCGGTTATTTCTAGGGTCGGCGGTGATGGTGTCAGCGGCGAGGCTACGGCAGAGGGTGGCGGCTGAGATGGGCGGCGCGGGGTCGGGGATATTATTGTACGAGTTCCGCCGGGCAAGGGTGGCGGTGGAGGAGCTGAGAGGGGAGTTGGAGAGGGAGAGAGTGGAGAGTGTTAGAATGTGTTTTGGGGTCCTCAAATCTGGCATTGAGAGCATCATTTGCCAGCTTGATGATTTCTTTGATGAGATTGTCGAGGGTAGGAAGAAGCTTTTGGATTTTTGCAGCCATAGGTAAATGTTACATAGTCCTTAACATTTTTCATTTCTTGTTTACTCGGTTAAAGAGGGGCGTGTGCTTCAAAAATGAAAGCACTTCTTTTTGTTGTTCTTCATTTTTTTTATTCACTTGTTGCTTTTTAATTTGAGGGCAAGAAATAAAACATTATTTCATTGATTTCTCTGACTCCCTCTAAACTCCATTCCTCAAATCATCAAATGATCAACTGAAAATATGCACCACAGAGAACACGTATCCCGTAGCACTGTCTTATTTTGCAGTCAAAATAAAGATGAAAAGATGATATATAAAACAAAATGATTTAGTTATAGTTGTGTTTGTTGGATTCAATAAAAAAAGAACTTTTTACCACTGGGTATCTATTACTGAACGTTGTTAACTTAGTTTGCTGAGTATCTATTACTGAACAACGGAATCATACCTATGCTTTTACTTTGACTAGCATTCGTTTGATATCATCTTATCACTATATCTTATAAAAATAAATTACTATTCGTGTTTTGAAGATTGATGGTTTCAAAGATATAGTTCTACTTGATTATATAAAAATAATATTTTAAAAAATATCAATAATAGATATAAAGACAATTATAAATTCAGGTTACTTTTTATTTAAAAAACTTATCGATTAATTATGTTTGGTGGTGATGCTAGATTAATTGACTAAAAACATATATATTAAGATTAACAAAATAATCTAGCTAAGTTATGCCTATTTAAAAATGATTTACTAAAACAACACACACCTTTCCACCCCTTGGAGGAAGATCTTGGATGCTAAGACTATCTACTCATCTTTCTAGGGTTCTATCTTTCACTATTTCATTGTATTTCATCTAGTTTCACCATGAATATGGTGAACTAAACTCTTCTTGTTGTTGGG